GATCATCTCTTCAAACACAAGAAACTTTATGATTAACTACCAGAACTTTCACAAAGAAGTCTATAATATTCAGTGTCAACTTACAAGATATTTTTAGTCTCAGTGAACAAACCATGCATGTAACCCTAATGGTTAAAACCTGCTGGCTGAATTACGAACAGTGGAGTTCAGCAGTATGAAAATGTTACAGAGAAGATCATTGTGAATGGGGGTCCCCCCAAAGTGCTCTAAACTGTCTCTGTTTTTGTGAGTTCCTTGCTCATGACTCTCAGCTGTCTCTTTTCAAATGATGTTTTGTGGCTACTGAAAGCAGCTCATTCCCCTAACTTGAAACAAATTATTTCTGCCTTTTTAAAGGAATAAAAATCAATAATTAAATCTGTTAGAACTATATGCAAAGTAAGAATAAATATGCTGAGAATAGGAGCCTGATGTTGTGGGTGTCTGCTAAATTCAACTAGGCCAACTATATTACCCGCTTGTGCAGTCCTTACTCCTTGAGTCTGGGCTGGTTTATGATCCATTTAACAGAGACAATGTAGCAGGAATAATACTGGGCCAGTTCCACCCTTGCTTGTGAGCTCCCGAAGCTGAAGCTTCTGCTCTTGTGCTTTTGGAAGCCTTGAGCTGCCATTTAACAAATCTCAAAATACAAATGCAGAAACCAGGAAACGAGGCCCTGTGGGGAGGCAGAGCACTCCAGAATACATGGAAGAGAAAAGCCCAGCCCTAGCTGGCTCACATGAATGTAATCACACAGGCACCTCCAGCAGGACCAGCAAAAGAACTCTGTTGCTGAGCCCACCCAACGTTGTAGAACTGATAATAAGGTGGTTGATTTAAACTGTATTTTCACAGCAAGGGGTAAAAGACATCTTCCTTAAAACATGTGAAGAACAGAAAGTAAAAAGGACTAACCAAAGGCTTCCATCTACCACTATGGTCTTAAGGACCAAGTTCTGCCCACTGAGTGAATGAAAGAACCAGGGAAGCTAAGGACCGAACCACAGTGCATGAGTTAGCATCCATGTGTATCCTCTTCATGCCGCCACACCAACCTTGAAGCCAGAAGTTGAATGAAACACGAATGGGTAGCCAACACATGGCCTGACATGTAGTAAGCATGTGACACTGCTCAGGAGTTTGCTTACCGGCTCACAAAGCAGTAAATGCCAATGTGAACTCTCCGCTCAGAGGTAGTAGGGTGAGTAGCTGAGATACTTTTGGAACTTGATCGCCAGGGCTAAAATCCTGGCTGAGACAATTATAAAAGTGGTAAGGGCTTGGACAACTTACTTATCTCTCAAAGCCTCAGTTTCCTCAACTAAAAACAAGGTTGACAATTCCTAACCTGGAGGAACGTCATAAGCAATCAGTTGTATGTGAAGAGCTGAGAAGTTACCTGATAGGTCCTAAGAATTGTGCAATTGTTCACTGTCATGGTTTGCTTTGTCTCTGTTCTACAGTTTTGCATCTCAGAATCAGCTACATTAATGTCTGTGTTCCAACATGCACAGGGTTTTCTTTTAAGGATTTCAAAACTGAAAAATTATTCATTAGGATAATTAAATGTCATTTTAGGTCTCTTTATTCTTATGAATTTCTTCTCAAATACAATTAGATCAAAAATCACTAGTTTCTAGCAAAACTATAGAAAAGTTAGCAAGTCACTGTAAGAACCAGGCCAAGAAAAGTGACAAATGGGGTATGTATGGAGAATTAGAAACCAACCACAAAGAGACCATGGTGCTAAGGAGAGAGAGAACAAGGGTATGACACACAGCAGGGCTGGAGTCCTCAGAAGTTACATTCTGGCCCAGTGACTCTTCCAGTCACTGCTGGGTTTGTACACCCTGGACTCTACCCGATCTGCTCTCATCTCCAGAGGAAGGGTATATTAAGACCAGACCTATGAACGGTGCTGGATGAAGGTGAGGCAGTCTCTTCATCTATTTATGGCATTTCACATCTTACAACAATAACCTTTTACATCTCTAAAAATTTTCAACCAAACTTCGATCTCTGCTCCTGCCAGCAAGCAAAGCCACAGCAAGTGCCTTTTATGAGAGCTAGCCAGAGGCCTCTTTTCTCTAAGAAGCTAAAAGAGCAGTCACTCTTTTGACAATTCTCAAAAATAGCTCAGGCCATTCAATATCACCATCTTTGAAGCCATGAAAAAAGAACTCCCTGTTGCTCTGGCCCTCACCGAAGTAGATCTCTCTAGTGGCCAGGTTTTGCATGAAGGGAAGGCGAAGGGTCTGAGCCTCCAACTGGGTCTGACGAAGACCTGGTATTATGAGGCCTAGGAATTGCTTTGCTCATCCCCCTTCCCTCTTGTGCTTACACTTCAAAAAAAGGGCTCAAAAGTTACATTCTGGTCCAGTGACTCTTCCAGTCACTGCTGGGTTTGTACCAGATTTAGCTCAGGGTCAGCAGGTGACTGGGACCTCAACAGTGTCAAGGGAGGTGTCCACACTGTTCCAGCTCATGCAGACTGGCTCTGTAAGGCATACATCCCTGCCTGGGGGCTCTGTACAGATGTCTCCCATTTCCCAGCCATATGACCTCAAAATCCAATTGTCCCAAGGAGGAGCAGAGAGGGCTTTATAAAAGGGAAGGAAAGGAGTCAAAAGAAAGATCCTGAATTAGAGCGCATTCAAAATGCTCTCCTCCAAGGCAACTGGACATCTGTGGGTCTCCCTAGGGAGCTGGAGTGGCTAGCTTGCATTTAGAGAATGAAGACAGTATTGTCTGTGATAAAACAATGAGAACTGCCTAAGAGATCTGCACAACCCTGTGAGCTCTGTGGCATCATCAGTCTGGTGTCTCCCACCCAGTTCAAACCCAGACCAGCACAGCTCTGTGGCTCCACGCAAGTCTCCATGTCTCCCTGGGACTGTCTGCTCCCCTCTGGCCTCTACCAAGATTTTACTGTGCAGACCACATTGACCATCTTAGAGGGAGAAGCAATGTGGGAAAGTCAGTCCTGCCTGCTGGATTGACCCAGTATGACACAGCCGTGTCCACATGGAGTTCAGAGTTTGCAGAAGAAAACAGGTAGAAAAATAAGCTGCTCAATCAAAGGGAGAGATGCCACAACGGGGCGTTAATTAACTCAGTCCTGACCTCATGACATGTGAGTGAATCCTGAACAAGATTAGACATAGTATTTAAGGAAGATACTACTCTTGCCTTTCCAGGTGGGATTCACCAACTACAAATGAAAGCCAGAAGGAAAAAGTCACTGCACATCTCACTTCTGGCCAGAGTTCTGGTATCTCACAACTAGCCACAGTTCCAAATCCTATGCATTTCCACTGTGACCACAGCTGAATTCCTCTCCATTGCTTTAACTTCAGCAAAACCTTTCCTGAAACAAACTACTACTGGCTGAGATTTAATGCTGCCACTGTCTTAAATTTGCTGCCTCTTACACCCAGTCGTCTGTCTTTAGGTCTATTCCAGCAACTAGGTACACTCAACAGTCTCCTGGCTTCTGCCCCAAGTGACTGAGCCACCAGAGTTTGGAAACAAACTCTGACTATAGCCACCCCCAGGTCGCTGAAGTCCCAAGGCTTGGGTTCTAGACACATAAGTCTGCTGACCATTCTCCAGTGTAGTATGGTGAAAGAAAGCTCCCAGAAATGAATATGGGAGGTATATGGGCAGCTGAAAATCCCTCACAACAATAGATTTTATTGCAAAGACTATGTGAATTAGACACCAATTCCCTCTGCAGATCAATCAGGGTGGTGGCAAGCTTCAATACTAACATCATCTAGTCCTCTGGTGCTTTGAGCTGAGCCAGAGGAATGAAAGAGGATGCATGCCAACATGATGATGGTTTGGCAATGTGACCCGACTCCAAGCTGGGGCTGGGCTACCTCCCTGGGCTCCAGCCAAAGCTACGAGAGAGCCAATTGTTCTGGTGCCCATTAAAGGCCTTTGCCAATCTTGGTTGCTTTACCATCGCACATGGCAGTTTATACCCTTCAGTACACACTGCCCAGGAGGCAGAAGAGCCCAGGGGAAAGGTGAAGCTTTGAAGTCAGGCATCCTGAGTTATTATCCCAGGAAAAGCTTTGAAGTCAGACATGCCAGAGACAATCTGATTGTCAACACCTTGCCAGGCCAGACACTGAGGATACCACAAGGAATAAGACACAGCTATGTCCTCAGAGAGGTCACAGCTTGCAGAAAAAAACAGGTGGAAAAATAAGCTGTTCAACGCAAAGGGAGAGACGCCAGCATGGGACATTAACTCAGCCCTGACCTCATGATATCTGAGTGAATCCTAAACAAGACTAGACATATTATTTGTGCAAATTATTTAAATCCCCTAAACCTCAGTTTCTTCATCTGTAACAGTGATTAAATTGCAAGGCTCTGTGGAGACTAGATATGCAATCTATAGAAAGCAAACTTACTTTTACTTTGTTATAAAATAAATGCTTCGCACTCTTTTAGCAACAAAAATAATTAGGTTTCATATACTGATTTAAACTATGGCATCCTGATTGATATCTAACCTTTTCTCGTGTGCATGTTTTCAACGCTTACATCTTTGGAGTCTTTAACCCACAGTTGATTCCTTACTGGGAGATCAGTAAGATGTCCATATAATTTACTGCACAAGCCAGGATATTAGGGTAAACTAGGGGTATCATTTGGGGCAAAATAAAATTAACAGTCACTGCATTCATTGTCCACAAGTCAATTTCAGGGTCAAGATAGGCAGCCATAACTATACCTGTGCATCACACCAAACAGTGTCCCACTAGCTTGAAGGCAGGCTAAACCAAAACCTGAACCTGGCTCACAGCCAGTGAGTCAGTTCATGGACACTGCACCACATGTCCCCAGTTCACACAGCCTAACACAAAACCAGAAAAGAGGCTTACATTCTGTCATCTGCATCTGTCATCACTACTGCCACGCTGAATACCAGTGACCTTCTAGATATCACTTGCCCTTTCTGCCTCCAGAACGCCCCCCCTTACCTCAGGTGTCCCAAGCTGTAGAAATGGGACTCCCCATCAGTGGAGCGTACAACCTGCAGCGTGAACATGGGCTGAAGTTGTCTGAGTTCCAGCAGGACGATGGCCAGGTAGTGTATGAAGAGGAGGGCATCCACGAGGGAGACTGCATATTGCACGATGCCCTGGTAGTTTCGGTCCCGAGAGTCCAAAATGCGGACTCCATAAAATAGCCAATAGGAAACCACGAAGAGAAAGATGAGGACCAATAAAACGGCACGGAACACAAACACTCGTGGCATGTCTGCTCTCTGCTTCCGGAAGAAAAGCGCCCATGTCCCAATGAGCAGAATAAGGAGTTTGAATGACACAGAAATAAAAAGTCCCTCACAAATTGTGCCACAAGGCTCAAGCTCATCCCTCCACAAAATTGGGGGCAATAAGATGAAGGCGATGGGGGTGAGAAAAACCAGAAGTCCAAGGAATGAGGCGATGGTGAGGGCCAAGTAGCGTTTGCAGTCCAGCCCCACGCTATCCTCCATGTCCTTGCTGATCCGGGCAATGTCCTCCTGGGATATGCTGTGCTCTGAGGTGCCTGTGATGGCCGTGGTGGTCTCACCCCAGTTGTCATCCTGATGAGAGAGGACAATGGCCATAAGAAACTGGTCATTTGCAAAAGACACAATGAACTTGGAGGACCTGCTGATTTCATTCTATCCAACTCTGTGTATTAGTCTTTCATAAGAATGGGAGCTGAATCAACTTTTAATCTAGAATTTTTAAAAACCTTCTAACAATTTTCATTGAAACTTCCAAAATGTATTATATATGTACCTTTTGCAACACAGAAAATATAATTGAACCTTTGGATCTGCTTGGGTGACTCACTGACACAACACTAATTATAATCCTGTGTTGAAAAGCCCTGAGAAGCTCAAAGGCTTGTGCCTGTTTGCCTTATCAGAAAACATCCAGTTGTTAGATTAATCTTTTGGGAGCTCACCTATTGAAGAAACCCCTCTGTGTTCTCCTCCAAATTCATGCAGAGTCCTAAAGGCTTACAAAGTCCAAGTTCTGTAAGCAGGGAACAATACTACCCCACCATATACCTCTATGAAGCAAAGAGCACAGAAAGAGAACTTATATCACTGCAGGAATCCAAGGTCACCTGCAGCTGGCACATAAATTATTTTTAAACATATAATGCTCGAAAGTCTTCCTTAATAAGCAACACTGTGACAACATTTCTCACCAACCAAACTGAACAATTCAAGAATCTAATTATGGTCAGACAAGCTCAAAAATTCTTTTCAAAACATGTTTTCATGACAAACTAAACATCAGGGGCACACAAATAACTACAATTATTATAATGTACATTTACTGTCTTATATTCGCTCAGTTTTTAAACTTATAGGTAGTTATTAGAGCAATTTATCTATTCATGCAAAAAGACTCAGTTGCTAGGAATTGTAAACACATTCGCTGTTTCATTGGCAACTGTGATTCCATTCCAGGGCACAACAGAGCAAGAAAAGCAATGGGGGATGCACAGAGGTTTTGCCTTAGAGATTCAGGGAAATGATTTAACTCTGAAAAAACAGACATAGCAGCAATATTGGTGAAATGGGGATATCAACTTAGAGAAATACATGGAAGTTAACAGTTGAAAGCAAGAATCAGCAAGGCAGATAACTAGTAATATCTCAAATAACTAGTAATATCTCAAATCCAGTAATGATAAAAACAAGCTTTCATGATTTATGAAATGTATAATAGGGTATGATTAAGAAGTGGCAGTGGTGGTAAAGTTCTCAACCCTACAAACAAAAGCTCTTTTGGAAGGTTACAACTATCACCCACCACAACAAACAGTTGGATGTAACCAGTACGCCCAGACATTGCTGGTGGAAGTATAGGATGGTTTGACACCGCTTGAGAAGTGAGTAATCCTCTAACTATATGTCCATATTCCACTCCCAGGTTTTACCCAAAATTGATGAAAATATACATTCACAAAAGATTTGTAAATGAATGAGTATTCTTAATGATTTTATGATTTTACTTATAATGGCCAACATTGAACAACTCAAATGTCTACCTCATCAGGAGATTGGATAACAAGCTGGAGTAAATTTCTACAATAGATTAGTGTTCAGCAAAAATAAAAACTGCCTACACACATCAAAATCTAGATAAATGTAAAAATCATTATGCTGAATGGGAGAAAAATCAGATGATTCCAATTATATTAAATTCTAAAATAGGCAAAACTAATCTACATAGGTAGAAACAGAAACAGTGGTTGCCATGGAGAGATGGTGATGGGGGTCTGGATTGATTAGTAAGAGTCTACAAGCATTTTTAGTGGTGAGGAATGTAGGTTGCATGTACTTATCTATTACAATTCATCAGAGATTTACTTAAGATCTGTTTTGTTTCTCTCTGTGTAAATTCACAGCAATTTGTCAGCAAGAGGAAAAGCCACAAAGTCAAAGCTATATAATTCTCTTTAATAAAAGGTCAATTCACATGCTATATAGAAAATAACTTATTTTGTAACACACTTAGTGAAGATGAATAGTGGATACCACATTTGTGTTAAGTCTCATATTCAGTTGCTGAAAAGTTATCACTAGTACATCATAGAGCCCTTGTTGCCTACACACTGCTGCAATGTAATCTGCTCATCTTTTTTCCTGGCCATTGTTACCAAGTCCCCTGAACATTTTAAGGATCTGTGAACATGTGTGTCTTTAAAAAACAAGGTAGATATAAAGTAGAAAGGATTCTCTCAAATTTGAGATTTTCAGAACAAAAATGATCTAAACTCCTCTAATCCAGTCCTCTAGATTTTCAGTGAAGAAACCTAAAAGGTTGCAATTCACCATTGTAAAGCTGTGAAAAATACAACTTCTACATTCTTTTTCTACCACATCCTTCTGATGCAAACACCAATGGCTTCCCAGCAAGTACAATGTGTAGAGAAGCTGAAAGAAAAGAAATGTCTTTGTGGTGGGCCACCAGCACCTATGGATCCACTTTTAGGAGAAAACTGACCCGTAAACTACGTAAGTGTGGTGCAAATATAGGATTGGCCCCACTTCTCCATCCATCCATCCATCATCTACCGAGTCACCCACCCACACCACCTGAGCCAAGCCAAGCAGTAAAGCTCTATCAAAGGCATCTGCTCATCACTGAGTAAACCCTATGTTTAACCCATGCCTCTAGATTGAGTCCTAAGAGCACCGTGTATGCTCTGAGGAAACGCAGTTGCAGTCCCTTTATCTGATTGCAAATGTATATTTGTGTGGCCCTACAAGTGTGTACAGATACATGCTTATCTATAGTCCTCCATCTTTACAGCTGTGTACCCAAACACAGCTTTTGTTTACATCAGGCAAGGCTGGGCATGCATATATTCCAGGATGTGCGGAGGGTGTGCTAACATGTTTTTGAGTATGGGTCAGCTATTTATTTAAATCAACTAAGGTGCCAGACAGTTGAAATCTAGAGAAGCACCCACATTTCTATCTTTTATAAAAGTAATGAACTGTCAATTTTTGAAATTGGGTAACTTCATATAAAATCCTAGCAGCTAGTTCTCCTTAAATATTGTGAGATCCAGGATCACTGAGTTCCTGCATTCCTGAGAAGCAGGAAGCATCCTGAGTACCGGTGCCCATTCCCTTGAGAGAACCAACTCACTCTCAGTTTGCCATAGCTCCTTTGCTCTGTCCAAGGCTGTGCACTGAGGCACTGCACAGATCTCTAGTTATCCCAAGGCTTGCTTGATGCATTTTTGTCTGTTCTTTCTGAGCCAAGAGGTTATCTCGTTCATTCACATTTCCCAATCAGACATGTGAGTGCCTAGACACTGGCTTATTTCATCTGGGGTGTCCTAACCTTCTCTCCCTTTTTCTCAACACTACTTAGGCTTTCTGTTGCATTTTGAAATGAGTCTCCTGAGACTCTAGCCTGTAACTTTTCTCTTCTCTGCCCTGTCATCCGCTGTGCTGGCTTCTTTTCAACATCATTCAAAGCACACCAGCCAATCACACTTCAGAATAATCCCCCAGCTACCCAATGGCAAAACAGGCTGTTCTTAGACCAACAAGAAACCGCAGGACATAGATAAACTAATTATTATGCTAGAAAAATAAAGATAAAAACCCAAGAGAACCTATTGCAACAAGACTTAGAAAAATATTTATGGAAAAGAGACTTGGCCAAGTAGCAGTATGCTTACAGACTGCCTTTGATCCTTACCTGAACCTCCTCAGTCCTAGTAGAATCATTTGCCAACAGGGGTTCTCCAGTGGGAGCTTGAATGGTGACAGATTTTTCTGACCCCCTGCCATCTTTATTCCGAGGCGATTTATGTCTCTCTCTACTTCTCTCCCTGAAAAAATAAATAATAATGAGCTATCAAATTTATGCCATGTAAGTAACTGATCCATCAAAATAGAAACCTCATTTTAAATTTAAGAAAACTCTACACTTAAAACTCTGCCCATATGCACACACACACACACACACACACACACACACATTCCTGCAAGGAGTAAACTGATCTTTACTCTTCACTTAATTATTTCCTTTCTGCCACTCTATGACTTAAGAAAAGACTTATCACTTCACTACAACAATGATCAGATTTTCTCTGAGAGCTTAAAATGGTAATTTTAGATTTCCTGGCTAAGGGACATTTTACTAAATAATTACTTAGTTGACTTGAGTGATTTGCCTAAACTAATTTTCTAGGACTTTTTATTAGGAACCCAGTGCAGAATAGCTAAAGCTTTGGTCTGTACAAAAAAAAAAAAAAATCTGGGACACACTGTCACCCTACCCTTCATCCTTTTGACAAAAAGAAAGGAAACTAAACTAGGACAGAGAAATCATTCTCTTCTCATTCTTACAAATTCAAAACTGAAAGTCATTCCCATAGGTTCTGAATTCAAAGACACCCACAGAAACAAACAAAGCGATGACAAATGACACCAAGAAGTGAGAAGGGTGTGTGTGTGTGTGTGTGTGTGTGTGTGTGTGTGTGTGTGTTTTCAGGTCTTCTAAGGAAAGCAGGCTGCTGCATACTTTTATCCCAGGTGAACTTTCTGGGTGGTCTTCCAGAGTGACAGGAGGGTATATACTACTATGAGCCAGTCTGCAAATTACAAAACTACTCAATCACTGCGGCCAAGACCAGAGGTGACATCCTGGTCATTAACCACTTCTGGAAACTGGCAGTCTGCCTCCAGATGCCAACAGAGTCCTGGAGCCCCTCAGTCGTAGACTGTAAGTTCCCTTAGCCTCCTGTCCCCACCAGCCAGTTGCCATTAGTCTTCCTGCCTACAACCCTTTGCTCTCATTCCTGCTCCCAGGAAAGACAGAATTATGAATGTAGATTTTGCAGACAAGTAGTGAGATCTCAATCTGTCCCACAACATGGGTAACCTTGCACAGGTCACTCGATCCCTGAAGTCTCAGTTCCCTCCTGTGGGATATGGGGACAATGACGATGCCACACAGATAATGTACACACCATTGGTGCAGGGTGTGAAGCACGTGTACTAACACAGTGCCATTATTATTGTATTACTGTTAGTTAATGGCAAAAAATGGTGTCTTGACTTTGGGAAGTAGCGAAGTTACCTTGGAGAAAAAGATGTAACTAGAACCAGGAATACATCATCAGACCTCCTTCCACTCCATCCACAAATCTTGTATTAACCTACGACTCAGCAATATCAATGGAATCCACAACAGAAACATGTCACATGTAGGTTTCTTGTCAAACACCTACTTTATCATTATGAATGTAACATAACAATAGCCATCACTTCAATTTATAGAGCGCTGTGTTAAGTGCTTTATTACATGAGTTTCATGAAATCCTAATAAACCTTTGGGACCATTATTACTGTTCCTATTTTATAAAGGAGGCAAACTTCACAGAACTTTGGTGAGTTCTCCAAGTTGTAGTAAGTAGCAGAACTGGATCTGAACCCAGGTCTGATGCTGTTACTTACCTGCAAACACTTCTGAAGAAGTGGAAGAATTTATAGCATAAATATTCCTCCTGCTTATCCTCACACTGACATTTGTCATACTTACCAGAACTATGAAACATGCCCTGCTAGTACCACCACACTATTTGTGAGACCAGCATTCCCCAGTATCACTTCCAAGGGCATTCCTCATTAGAAATAATAACAATGTGGGAGAGATCGCCATGTGCTTAGTCTTCGGAATGAACATCAGATCAGGGCCAGAATCCAAGCCCCACAAGCACCAGATCCACGGGCCCCTCTTCTGTCTCATTCCATTTCCAATTTCCCTGCTGCTCTCACAGTTCTCACTCTCTTGGCCATCAGCCAAGTCACATGCTTTCCTTACCCACCTCTCTATGCACAAGTCCCATGGGTCAAATCCTGTGACAGCACAAATTCCACTGGAAATCAGAATCTTTCACTGAGTGCCAATTCCCAGCTCCTGAACACTATCAGGCAGAAAGAGATAGGGAACCACCCAGGGCTGGAACAGCCTCTCTCCACCAGCCCCAGCTCCCACCCCCAACCTATCCACCCCAGCTCTTAAGGGGCCCAAAAGCACCCGATGCAGAATAACTATCTCACAGCTCCCCAGTTTAAACCAGATAAGATCCTTTCATTTGATAACCTGAGGAAGGTTTCTCATCCTCCAGAACCTGAAATCCAAAACCCATGCTTCTCAACCTGCAGTGTGATGAAAACCACCCTAGGTGCAGATATTAGAACAGATTTCTTGGTCCCACTGTCAAAGGATTTGTCTGGAAAGGCGACAACAGGAATCTACATTTCTCACCAGCATGCCAAGCAATCAGAATGCAGGCTGTCTTAGATATTTTCCCCACGGCTCTTTCTCCCAGCTGCTCTTGAGGATATATAGAGTAAGTCCTACCATCTCGGCACCGGCTTGGACCATCCTAGCCTTGTTGTGGAAGGAGCAAGACCTGCCACAGAGTTTTAACAGAAACTGCCACTCCTCTAGAACTTAAGAGAGATTCAACCAAAACAATTTTGTCCGTCCAGCGCTTTCTGCTTTGCAGAATAAATCATAATGCTGTCCCTTCACTGCAGTATGTATCCACATGCTCATGCCTGTGTCTCCAGGTGCTGTGACTCAACAGGGATGACAGGGCACCTGAAGCTGCCAACTGTCCTCTGGAAGTGGACTCCTCAAAGATGAAGACAAGTGGTCTATGTGTCTAAGCATCTAGAAACAGATGTCCCGAGAATAGTCTACTCATCAGTGGAGTTTAACAATCACATTCACCTTTGTGCCTTTCACTCATTTTGCCAACACATGGGATCACCTACGCGCTTTTGCTGGGCAGCTATGTTACTCATGGGCATCTATGTAGCTTTGTCTCTGAATCTGCCCCAAGCACCATCTATCCAGCAAGGAAAAATTTATCTGTGTGAGTTTGCACATGTACACTCAAGCGGGTGGGAAGAGCAAGAGGCAGCGCACCAGAGGAACCTGCATGTGTGTGCTCAACAAGTGTGTGTAAATGCATCTATGTAGGCAATTCAGGAGCTAAGTTCTTGGGGGCCAATGTAATTTTCTCACCCCAGCCAGAATCCTACAGTTCCCACACTGTGCTCACTTATAGTTAGCATTTCCTGGGAAGATTATTTGGTCCTGTTTCTGTTGTCTATTTCTATTTAGGGAAAGCTGGCCCCACCGGTTACTCCTCCCTTTCCTTCTCTACCACCACCCACTCACTCACTACCTGTCCTTCCCAGCCAACTGCCCGGCCTGGCTGACTGCTTCCTGTCAGCACTGACTAGAGTGGGAGGGCTGGATGCAGGGCAAACTGGCCCTGAAGTGGCTTCAGAATCCTCCACTGCCCAGAAAGATCTCCTTTGGACAATGTACTTTAGTAAATCACTCACTTGAGTTACCCTTCATGTCTCTTTCAAAAGTGGCATTTCCTTTCCAGTGGACCAACAAGCCTGAATCCTGCCCAGGGCATCTATCTGCATCTACTAAGGTTACAATCACAGGCAACAGTGCTTTTCCCTGTGCCTTGGTGTTACCTCCTGTGAAACAGGACTACTACTTCTCACCGCACCAGGTCTGCTGTGAGGATAAAAGATATTAACTATGAAGGGCCCAGCAGGTACTCCCAAAGCTATCTTTACCGTCACTGGAAGCTGCTGTACTAACCCAGTAAACTTGCACCGTAAACTCACAGGTTAGACAATGTCAGTTACAGTCTGTACCATTTTCCCAGCAAGTTAGCTCACACTCTCTGGAAATTTCAAGCATCAAAAAACCAGGCCATTAACCTCTTTGTTATAAAAGAGGTGCTGGCCATCTGCTTGGAACTGGCCAACCCTCCAAGATAATCATGGTGTCATCAGGCATCTTGAGTTTGGAACATTTCGTTTTTCCTCTCTGAGCTGGAGTTGGACTAAAATTAGCACAGGGTAAAGTCCTTTCCCTTTTTTTCTATTCAAATTCCCTGCAAATCACTGACCAGTGAGCAGCTTCACAGTGGCACTCCTGGGATACTTACTATCAATGTCCTTGATTGTGTTTAGGGCCTGTTCTGTGCCTGTGCAGGGTAGTGTTACCATTCAACATCCTTTATGCTGGGTCAAGTACTCCACAGCCACACTGCCAACAGATTACAGCCATTACCCCCAGTTCCTGTAGCCGATTTTGCCTTTAGGGGAACCCTTCACCACCAGGGATGGTGGCATTGCTTCTAAAGAAGGCACACAGTGCATCTACAAGTCCCTAAGGCACAAAACTCTGAGCAGGCATTTGGTAACATAGTTTGATTAACCAATTCGAAGTCTTGGTTTGTATTAACACTTGCCAACAACTTGGTTTGTATCAACATTTGTCAAGGATCCAAGAAGGCACTAAAATTTCTGCATGTTGCTTTAATATAGTTACAGTCTTTTAAAGTTCCCATAACAACATCAGAGTATCACTTTCTGGTGGTCCCAAGAGGCCCAAGGAAACAGCAGAGAACAGCAATGGGTCCTCAAGTGTGGAAGTCAAGATTTGAGCATAAACAGGAAGCTACCAGCATAATTCCTCAGAATCCGGCAAGCTTCTCTCTCCTACTCATCCCAACAACCAAGAAAATCCCAAATTCTTACTTTAGTCCTAGCAAGCATAGGAGAGGAAAGATACTGATGAGAGAGAGGCTTTTACTAGTTAGGGCTAAAGAGCTGGTATTTTAAAGGAGACTTTTAGAGTATTTTATAACTAATCTGTAAATTCACCCAATGGTTGAAATCGGCAATTCAAGTTTTATCATCACAGTGTTTCTATTTCAGGATCTAATTTCTGACATGTCTCACCCCTACAGACTCCCCTCAACCCCACCCCTGCTGCAATAGAGATGGACATCCTGCACTTCCTGTCCTGACTGCAAAGGCCAACCACGGCTCCAGCACCTACAGACAGTTTTTATAATGAGAGCAATACATGAAAATGTAGAAAAGCATGTAAGTAAACGCCTACACTCATGGACAGACAAGGTCAGTATGTTAATATATATAAATGTTACACATTTATATGTAACATTTTGAGTTTTGAATCTCATTTTTAAAATAACATGAGTGTATAAATTTTTTCTTGTATCCTTTATACTCCTGCATCTCTCATTTTTTTTCCATGTGGCTAAGGCAATGTTCATTTTATTTTCACTCACTTTCTTAAAAATTTACCAAATATATTCTTTAAAGTCAAATAACTACAGAAAGACCAGGCACAAATGACAGGACCCATCGCGGTCACTCTGCTGCTGAGCCTTCTCCCTGTGTCTGTCTGCTCTCGGCAGCTTGGAGAACCCTCTCCAGGGCTCTTTCTATGTACGTGCATACACACAGCCTGACTCGAATTAGATGTACACATTGTAACATGGTTTTACAAAACAAAGTCTTACTCTGCACTGATATTTTTTATGGGGAGAACTACTCATCAAAGGAAACAGCACTACAGCCACCTTTTCTACACCATCACTGAGTTGTGATCACAAGTTGTGATCTCTTTGGGCTAGAGAAGGCTGAATATGGTGCTGAAATGTGAAAGTCATTGACAGTTTTAACACAGTTGGTGACCTCCAACTACGCACTAAGTTATACGTTTAGCATGTACGACCTCATTTGACTTTACAACCCTGTAAGCACTTACTGTACTCACTGTGTGGGAAATCCTGCAGATGGCAGAGGGAGCCCTGTGCCCATTTTACAGATAAGAAGAAACTATATTCTGAACTGCTACAGGTCACCATTCATTCATTGTATCACCCATTCCTCTACCCAGCAAACATTCTGCAGGTTAGTAACAGTAGACCCTTCAATTACTAGTGCAGACCTGTTTAATTTGCAGAGGATGGGGAAATTGGCCCCATCACCCCAACATATTTTTAAAACTCAGGCTGTTCACTGGGAAGACCAAGGATAAGAAAGGCACCAGGCCAATCATGCTGGCTTGTGTGCAAGCCATGGCAAATACATAATGGACAATGAGTCAGCAGTTTTGGTGAAAAGCAGCAAATTAGCACTTGTTTTTTTTAACCCTGCTTTACATTATTGTTATAGCTCAGGAGAACTGACATCTGCAAAGTACTTAGAAAGGAACAGTGCTTCCACTGCAGGGGGAGACTTTAATTTAAAACTAATTGTGAGAAATTAAGGTCATCAACAGTAATGGTGGCTATAAAATGTAAATTGAGGTGGCTATAAAATGTAAATTGAGGATATAGTTACTCCAAATCCAAGTCACCCACTCTCACAGCTCAGGCTTCTGTGGGCGGAACTGCTAACATCAACGGCTCTGCAAGTGGCTGTTTGCAAACTGAGTCTTAAAGGCCCCACCAACCTGCAGATTTCGCAAATGCAAAGCACAACAATCAGTGGTTTACATACCCTTGTCTGTGAGACTTTTTTGAATGGCTTGAATAGTATGAATATCCAGAGTATGTGGATTCGGTATCCATAGCAACGGAGAGTTGTGTCTTGAAGGAGCAGGCACTGTTTCTCCCTGGAGGTAGACAATTTCACCTAAGAGCTTCTAAAGCCTCAAGGAGTCTGAATTGGAAGAGGACTTACTCATCAACAGGAACAATTCTGGGAAAAAGGGAAAAAAGAGAGCTCAATCTTCAAAGCTAGTGTTAACAAGGCAGATAGCAGCAGTCTCTCAAAAGCAGCCTCCTCCTCTTCGGGTCGTTATTATGGAAGGAGGGGAGGTTGGGCGAAGCACTGGTCTGTAAATGCTCAGCGCAAGCAGGAACAGGCTTCCCAGGTACGTGGGAGAAAGGCTGAGTGCTGAGCAAGCTGAACCCCATCACAGCAGGAAGAAGATGGGCAGTGGGAGAGAGCTGGGCGCCGGTCCATTTCCTGCGCAGAGTCACCTTCCTCACCATTTTTGGCTTCTGCAACAACCCCGAGTGCTCAGCTCCCTCAGTCCTTTCGTGGCCAGTTTTCTGGTATAAAAATAATACCCAGGGAAGGTGCTTTTCAAGGAATTTATCATCATCAAAAGTAAAAAAGAAAACCTTTTAATCCAAGAAGCCAAAGTCTGAAGAATGTATCTTAGAGAAGTAAATCTTCAAGAAAATTATTGCCCAACTGTCTGTAATAATAATTTTTTAAAAACCTACTCTTGATGCCCTTGAAACAAAGGGAAAACATGACTCATCCATCCAAAGAAAAATCATGCAGCTATATGAAATGATAATTAGAAAGAATATTTATAATAGAATGAATTTAAAATTGGATTGCAGATACATACTGAATTAACATTACCCCTACATTCTATATCAAACAACTTCTGTAAGGACAAGGATTCAAAGGGGACATCAGAAAATGAAAGCAGGTGATTTATTAGTTGCAAGGTTCTTGGGTCCTTTCCCACACTTTCATTAGATACTGCTTTGCAATAAAAATAAATTGGAAACATTTCCAAGTACATTCCTAAGCTCCCACACAGGCTAATCCTTTACTTTTAGAAAACATCTAAAGCTGTGTCTCCCCGCACCCCTCACCTCAGTGCTGGTCTCCACCCACTACAGTTCTTTCTCTCAAGAAGCTAAATTGCAAACAGACCCAGAGAGGTAAGTGTGAAGAAAACACAAAGAAGTTGCAAATACCTTAGCCCAGCCCCACAGGGAGGAGCCCATGTTCCCAGATCCCAGCAAGCACCACCTGGGCAATCAGGCTGAAGCAGCACTCACCAACACAGATCCTAGAACTTCAGCCTGGAAGTGACACTCTTTCACTGCCAAGGTTGGTCACCCAAGGCTAGCTTCCCTTAGCCCACACCCAGGTGTCCAAAGTCAGCCATGAGGAAGCCTGGGTTCCAGCCCTAGTTAAGCCACTGCTTCTCACAACCTGAGATAAGCCACTGGTCTTCTTGGGCCTGTTTGCTCATTTGTTAAAGCAGTTACCAACCTCACTGGGTGGATGTGAAGATACAAGCAGACATGGTATCGAGAGTGGGGTTTCAATCACAGACTCCATTTGCTCCTGAGCTATGGGACCTCTGTCAAATGATTAAACCTCACCGAACCTGCACCTGCAGGCTGGGACTGTCAGGACTACTACAATGACCACATGAGCACATGCACCCGGTAATGACAGTGGGTGGCCAGTCTTACTCCAAAGCTCCAAGTTCTCCTTCTCCTATTGATGGAAAACCTCGGAAAGCATCAGGGCAGTAAGCAGGAGGCTCACCTGTAGGCCCACCATAAGCTGGGAGGTCACTCTAATTCCACACCCTACCAGGCTGGTCCTGCATCCCACCACTTCCTACCAGGTTGCTACTGAGTAAGGCAGTCAGACCTTGGTGTGACCTCAGGTTTCCTACCCCATGAAAAGGAAATAAGATATTCTATACTGAGGGAGTGACTCTAAAGATTAAATGTCAAACATACAGGCAAGCGTTTTTTAACGCTTTCCAGAAAGACTTGAGAGCCGGGGGATCTTTTTTCACACTTCTCTGTCTCCCACCATTTTCACCAGCAATTTCAATGAGCTTTCAGAGCCTTCCAGTCTCACTTCCTCTCTGCTCTGGGCTTTGCTGCATTTTCACCGGCTTCATACCTGACAGACATCAACTTTAGGAAGCACAGCCAAGATGTGCAGCCAGTATAAACCAAGACTCTCCCTGGGAGCCCGTGGCCTTGCTCTGCTGACTGCCAGTTCCAATGTTTGCTCTTTCCCCCCCAAAATGGACCTGCCTTTTCTAGATGCATAACTGACTCTCCGTAACCTCTAGACTTGCTTGTGCCTTCTAATATGAAACTCTTGAATACCTGTTCCATCCAACCCTTGCTATTTGTCACTAAATGATGAGAGGTGTCATGGGACAGCCCAAGCCCTACACTCCAGAGGTGATCCTGTCTTTTCACTTCCCAGCTGTGATGCCATGAAGCAGATGCTCTAAACTTTGTGTCTAGGTTTGTCTCTAAGCTTCTGTCCTACCTCCCACCACAAACCCCCAGTAAAATGAGAGCATTTAATAGTTTCTTCCTAAGGTGGTAGTGAGGATTAAAAGCAGAGCATATATAACCCAATTTTCATTCCCTCCCCTTTTTGCCAATGACCATCACTCCTCATCCTCATTAAAACTTGGCCATTCATTTAGATGCCAAGAAATGACAAACCCCAAGTGCTCTTTAGATGCAGGATTTTCCTAACTCTACCAACCACCCATGCTCAGTTTCTCTCCCAAAATTCCTGCCTACACTTAACTAAGGGCTGTCAGTACATGCTGTCACTGGCTCTCTCTCTGTTGTCACCAAGTCTTCCATCCTTATCTCTCTAAGTTGGAGCCAGGTACAAAGATGATATCCTTATCCTCCTCTAAGTCCTTCTTACCCCCACTGATTCATTCCTATATCTATATTTGAGCAGCCATGACTGTGATTAGCAACGTGAGGGGTATGGCAATGACAGAGGACACTGCCTGTCCTCAAAAGGTGTTAATGTTGGCACCTGTATATTCATTCTGCTCCAATACGCCCTCCCTTGTCTTCACATCTTGTTATCCCTTAGCATTCAAAACATGCCCCGAGGGGCTGGGGATTTAGCTCAGCGGCATAAGCACCTGCCTTGCAAGCAGGCAGTCGTGAGTTCATCCCTGGTACCGATAAAAAGGAAAAAGACAAAAAAAAAAAAAAAAACATGCCCCGGGGCCGGGAATTTAACAGTAGCATAAGGGACTACTTGGCAAGCACAAGGTCATGAGTTCAATCCCTGTACCAAAAAAAGAAAAGTATCTCTAAAACATGCCCCATTCTTCCCCATTTGTGGATTCACAATACTGAAGAATAAAGCTCAGATGCACACTTCTTGCTAGAAAGGACGTCTCTTGCTCCACTTGGGATGACCATCACCCCCTCCACGGCTGCTTTCTCACATCCTGGCCTCAGCTTGCCAATTTCCTCTGCCCACAATTTCCTCTCCCATCACTCTGCACTATGAAGCCAACCCTGTGCCATTCTCAGTACTCTCCCTTCTTCATTCCACACATGCAAACATCGCTAAGTTCCACCTGTCCCCAGAATACAGTATTCCTGTTATTTTGTCAGCTCACAGCAGCCCAGGCTAGTCTACAGTAAAGCCTCCCAGTCTCCTCAAGGATTCCAGGCTGCACAGAGCCAGAGCCCAGCCCTTCTTCTAAATCATACTACTTGCATCATGCTTATCAACACTTATCCTTATCTGAGTCACAATAAAGGAGAAGCAAAGGAAGCAAACTCCTACAATCTACAACTCATTTTAAAAGAAGATTTGAGCACAAGTAAGAGCTCCTATGGAAATGTCCTGAAGCTTATCACTATAAGGACTTTATGTACCTATGAGACCAGTTCCTCTGCATACACAAGGAATTAATAGAACTCATGACAAGGCCAGAAGAGACTCCTTTATCAGGAAGGACAACAAACTATGAAAAGAAGTCAGCTTCCCTGAGTAATAAGCTGATGGGCTACTGCACTGGCCTGAATGCGCTGGTTTCACGTAAATGTGAAAACATGGAGCTAAGAACCTGCCTCTCTATCATTCTGATCTCTCACATGACCAATACTGTGTTTGAACCAGGATGGGCAGCAAAGACAGAGATCTTTAAATTACAATGCAGATACCACTCTGCTTAACATCCTTCCATGGTGTCCTTCTGAGTACTGAATAAAATACAGAATCTCCCATTTTATGTGTGATGTCCTGCCTCAACGCCTGTTCTTCTAAGGTATCAGAGTCTCTACAGCCTCAGGGCCCTGGCAGAGGCCAGTATATCTGCTGATACCCTGCTTTGCCCAATTTCTCTCAATTTAAATGCAGTACTACCTCTCTCAAGAGGCTCTTTTGATCCTGCAGCCTATATCAGGCTTTCCCAACACTTAGCACTCTTCCTTTCTTAATTTTCAGTGAAGTATGTACTTGTGTGATTACTTAATGTCTGGTTCCTATAACACACTATAGGTTTCATGAGGGCAAGAGCCACTTTCATTACTTTCATTCCAGCTCCTACAACATACAGTAATTGGCATCCAGTAAATGTTTCCTAAATGAATGTTTGGCAGCAGAGCTCAGGACAGTGAGGCATATGCTTGCCATGGAAGAAATCTTGCACAGATATATTGAGAGTGAAGTCATCTTGCTGGCTCATAAGGCAGCTCACCAAGCAGAAGTTTACAATGTAGGTGTGCTAAATAGAAACAGCAACAGCCTCTTTAGCCCTTCCCAAGGGCATCCTGACTGTCCCACCATCCCCTTGCTACAGTCAAGGCACACTGCTCAAGAAGGGTTGTGGGGCCCATCAGCAGGGGCTAGGCTCAGCAAACCCCATCACATGACTGGCAAGAGGAACACTTAAGATAGGTGGACTGGGTACCTCAGTGTCTTGAGATCTGAAATTCCTAGGCAAAAATGCTGTACAGAACCTACTTTACTGTGGTTTATTAAAAGCAAAATGAACGTCAGCAGTGTCAGAATCTCCTCCTAAGGTCATGTTCACTCATATAAAATACACTTGACTCCTACTTAAAAGGAAATAGTGTTCAGAAAATCACATGAGGGAAATGATAGGTTATGGTAATGACAGTGGTAGACATAAGCTAATTGTCACCAAAAGGAAATTACAAAAACATCAACAGCTCTGCCTATAGCTATTAAGTAATTAAGGGGCCTTGACTGGGAAGAGAGGAAGTTAAACATGCAGGGGGTGCAGGGACACATACAGCATTTAAAGAGCCACTGCACTCCCTCTGCAGTGGCTAATCTAGGTGTCCATATATATTGTGTATATTGCTCTATTTGATTTTTATTATACATAGAATTGTAAAGGAATAACTCCATGAATTATTTATATCTTGAAGGTAAGAGTCTTCTCTAAGTTCTCCCTTTTAACTATATGACACTCAAGGGGAAAAGTGACAACATAAATAATTTTGCTTAGAGTCTACTTTTCTCCTAGAGAGGAAGAGCACACGGAATCAGACATCACTAACTTATCAGCTGTGTGACTCCAAGGCAAGTTGTTAAACACTCTGCACCTCAGTTTTCCTACTGTAGTAAGAGTTACACTTACCACCTTTTAAGATCGTGGTGTGTATTAAACAAAATAATCCATAAAAATCATTTAGAACACTGCCTAACACAGTAAGTAAGCACTCCCAACTGTCAGCCATTACTTCAGTAATTCAGAAAAGTGAAAGGCTTTCAATTAGGAAGAATACCTTTGTAGGGCACATGACTTACAGGCAGCTGTCATTTCACTGTGTATATTGTTTTGGTCTACACTAATCCGTTTTTAACAACTTTTATTAACTAACAAATTCATATCCATTCAGTCTCTGGAGGCCTCTACTTACCATTCTTCAGTCTGGAAATGAATGTCAGAGAGAGTAGAGAACACTGCATGAGTTTATCTGGAGGTAAACAGGACTGAGAAGAAGGGCACAGAGAATTATAACCAGGCCCACAAAACATTTTGCCGGACTTGTAGACTGTAACTAGAAAGCATCACCCAAGTCAGTGACGTGAGGATCTGTAGATCGTATGGCACTGATGACAAGTCCAGTGATACTTTCATGGTATCTGAGTTCTTACAAATCTATGATTGTGGGCCACTAACCACAAGAAAAGAAAATGCTCACCTCATTTTATCTGTGTTGTCACTAATTTCAACTCACCTTCCCAGAATAACTTCTCTTGGCTAGAGTCATTAATTACATCTAAAAAAAATAAAGAAAACACTTCCAGAAGCTGGATATAGATTTCTGTAGAGCTATGAGTGACTAATGTGGATAATCAAGCCAATCCTTTGTCCCCTGCTTGATTTTTAAGCTTCAGGGTAACAGATTTCATGAACACTACCTTCTCAGTGAATCCCACGAGCCCAGTGACTTCTGTTAATAAGTGTACCTCAAAAGGACACAAGTGGACAGAGCTTGAATCAGAAAATGCAGGCAACTTTTCTTGAGGCTTCAGCAAGCTCCAACTGCTGGCAGAGACAGACAACCACAGCCACACGCCACCTCTTCTTGCCCAACTTAAGGAAACTGCAGAGCACATGCACAAATCACCTGCCACATACAGTTAGACACCCGGCCACAGCTAGTGCACTTTTCAGAGAGATGATAGCAGTAACAGTCTAGCTACAATTATCAATTGCTTATTATGTGTTGAACTAAATCATCTGCATATAACATCTCACTTAATCCCCAGAACAAGCCTATAAGGTAAATAAAATATTAATATCATGCATAATTAAGGAAACCAAGTTTGCATATCTGGTATTTGACAACTTGAATTGAGTCTAATTATGAACTTCAGTTCTTAACTATAGAAAATTTACAGCAATGTAATCACCAGAATCATTTATTTACATAAAGGAGGGTATGCAACAATCACAAATGCTCCAAAGCACATATAACCTCACAAACAGTTTTGCAATTTCAACTCCTACTCACTGGTTCAGTATGTTAAATACTGTGAGGAGTTCAAAAGAAATAAATGATCTGAATCCTGAAAAAGTTCTATCTCTGAAGGCGCCCATGGCCCAAAGTTGGAGATCACAATTAAAATCCAAAGTGTTAAGGACTCAAATAGCAGCTGAAATCTAGAGTAACAAACTGGTTGTGTTTTTGTATGTATCAAGTAGAGAGAATACGTCCCTCCCACAACACTTATTAATCCATCTTAGACAAAGATGAATGGAATTGTTGTTGGGTAAGGAAACTTAAAATTTTCTTTATGGTTTCATCCTATTGCTCAATATGTAAAACAACAAAAATGTACCACTTGGCACATAGTCCTTATAAATATACCACTCTCAAAATTATTCTCTCATTTTACTTGCAAATTAAATTGCAACCAAGTCACACTGTCAACACAGTAACAGTGAAAATTTCACAAAGGGTGTTTTCATCCATGTAGAAATGATACGAACTCACTTGCAGATAGGTGAAGTGGGTTACTTCTTTGAACTGGAGAATAAAAATTTCCTCCCACAAATCAAAGCCCTAACTTTATCACACTGATTTAATTCCACTCTAAAAACTCTAATTAGTGGTTACATAAAATGGCTAATTATGACTCCCTGGATTCAGCCAGTTTCTGCCATCTCACCTAAAGAGCCTAGGAGCTGTATAATCAAACAACCCACCTACTGGAAAGAGAATGCTAATTAGCATTGTTGATTGGTGACACAAATTATAATATTTTTCAGCAACCCTGTAACATTTACAAACATGTCAGTGAAAACACCAGATTCTCAACAGCCTGCTAGCTAAGCGTCTAAGAATACCCGCATTTCCAACCTCAAAACTTTTAATAGAATGCACATGCCAGCCACGCAATCATAATAAAGAGTTTTACCATTTCCCCCAAGAACAGCGAAAGGAGCTCACATTCTCCACGAGGACATTACGGCTGGTTTGAAAGCATGAAAACAAATTTCTCCTCTTCAGGTCTCACCAGCTCATCCCAGAGCCGCCAGGCCGCGGCTCCGCCCCACTCTTGCCTCCACCACCGACGCGTTTTAAATTTTTTATAAAGCTTCACACTTCTCTGGGCGCGTTGCTTGGGGGCAGTTCAAAGACTGCAGGAGGAAATGAGGCTCTGCCGGTGGCTAAGGCTGCCCCGGCGCGGTGAGATTTTCCAAAGCAAGGACCCTTTGGGCAGACTGGCCGCAGCCTCTGCTCCACCCAGGGGCTTTTGAAAGTAAACTCCTACCTGCCTGTTGCGCTCCCAGATGCCCAAACAGACGTTCCCCCCAGGCCAGCAGGGCCGCCTGAATTCTGAGAGTGAGGTGAGAAACACAGGCCAGCTCTGTCTCGGTGCCTGGCCACCGGCCCGCTGACCCCGCACTGGCTAGCACCACTGGAGCCCGGCGGCGGAGTGGGCAGCGCGGTGCGCGCACGGCTCCCGAAGAGCGCAGGGCGGCCCGGCCACCGCCTGCACCGCCAATCGGAGCCCCGAGCCTCCACCAACGCTCGGCCACTCCCTGGTTACCACCCGCCGCGCCCAAGGGGCGCACCCCAGGGCCAGCCCGGAGAGAAGGGGCGTCCGACCTATGGGCAGGGCTCCCCAAGACCCGAGAGAGTGGGTGCGCCCAGGGCGCACGGCTGGGACAGAAGGGCGCCCCGTGCGGGATGGGAGGACAAGGGTCCAGGCGAGCACGACCCGGGCGCGGTCCGGAGGAGCCCCCGGCAGAGGCGGGAGGCCCGCGAAGCGTTGAGTCCCGCAGAGCGAGTGCAGGAGGAGCGTGCGGGGACACACAGATTCGGGGACGCTCCCGCCGGGGTTCTGCGGGGCCGCCCCGCGACGCACAGGCTTCCGTGGGACTCACCTTCGCGCCGGCCGGCGGGCTCCGCGGCCCGCGGTCTCGGCTCCCGGGGGCCCGGGCTGTGCGGCCTGCGCTGGGCTCCCGTACAGGCAGCGCCCCGCCGCCGCTGCCGCCTCCGCCGCTGCACTGCTGCTTTCCGCTTCCTGTCCCGGCGCCGCCCTGCAGCCCCAGCCCAGCCCAGCGAGCCCGACGCGGCCGTGAGCCAAGAGCTGCGAGCGCTGCGGGCCCCCGCGCATGCCGGCCCACCTGCAGCAGAGGGCGGAATGGGCGTGCGCGGTCACAGTGGACACCCGGGATAGGGCACCGACCGTCCTCCATACACACACATTTGAACATAGACAAGCACAATCCACGCCCAGCGATTGACCCCCACCACGCACAGTACCCCAACAGACTTGCACCCTGAAACTGAAACTTAGAGGAACATACTCACAATTAGGCACAAAGCTCAAGGCCTTGTGCTTTGAGGCCCCACTCACATATTTACATGTGTGCCCCCTGCCCCACAATGCATACGGCCACCCACTCACTCATACACACACAGCCACCCAAAGCCAAGAACTGACCCACAAATACTCAAATGTACCCACACCTTAAGCCATATAGCACTCGTATTTGAGCTCCTGTGTAGCCAGGAAGTAATCATATAACCTCACATCCCTACAGGCATGCTTCTCCCTGCTTCTGCCTAATAGCAGGTGCTAGCCCCTGACCCCTAACCCATAGACTCTAGGGACAGCTGGAAGATCACAACTCTGAAGGCAGGTAGCTCCAGGTACTGTGCCTTTGGAGCTTTGCTTTTCCTGTCTAAAGAATGGCCAGCATGCTAATATGCAACTTGCAGGATTTTACTGAGGACCATAGAAACCTGCCATGCTTAGTTAGGCAAGGAGCAGAGGGTGACTCAAAACGGAGCGAATATGTGCAGTCTTCTTAGTTGTTTTGTGCTGTTAGGGTTAGGAATCCAGGCGAGTATGCTGGAACTAGCTGGGGCTCAAAGTTGCTGCTGTGACACAATTTTCCAGTGGACACAATGGATACTGAAATGCTGAGTTTGCAAGGATTGTTACAGGAGTATTGTGAGTAGTTGGGCTGAAAAGGGCTCACTCTGAACTAGTCTTGGTCAGGAACTTTTATCCCAAGAAACCCTTGCTCCAGCAACCAAGGCTTCTACCTTATCCCCTCTAGCCACCATTCTCTCTCCCATACTTGGCACTCCTAAGAAGATACCCAAATGTTCAGTGTAGCTGATTTTTACTGCTTCCCGCCACCCGGCTCCATTGTCCCCCTTGCTGGAGCAGATCATTTGCACCTGAGTGGACTCCCAAGGTAAGTACTGGAGACTAAAGCAGCCAAATTCCTCACAGGAAAGCCACCCCACCCCCATTAAGCAGTCAGGCACAGAACTCCAGAACTGTGCAAAAAGTTCTCTTTCATTTTAAAACTTAGAATCTTCAAAGCAGGTCAGAACTTTCCAAATCAAGTTGTGATGCTGCTGAGTAGCCCAATGGAATCTGAGGATCCTCAATGATTTTTCATGCAATAACTATAGTGTACTTTATGTCTCCTGCAGTGCTTTTCTGGGAGAGAAATGTCCAAAACAAATTTTTAAAATAATAAATTCATCCTTAAGTGCTGTTTACTATTCATTTTTATCCAAGAATCTCAGTTTATCCAGAATCCAAGTACCAAAGTTGGAAAGACTGGCATTGGAAACTGGTTCAGGCTCAGATTGATGTCAGTACAACCTTTGAGGCCTGGTTGGCTTTCACCTGAAGCTGTGTCTTGCAGCTTGGCCTCTGTTAATATAAACGTAAGCTAGTGAGTGCTCTCTGCCATTCTGCCTCCCCAAGCTATTTATTTCAAACTCAGTTGGGGAAGAAAACTGGGTTTTCTCAAGCATTTAGCATGGCTGCTTTGCACACATGCATGTGCATATTTCTCTCTTCTTTCCATCCCGTAGCTTCTCCCCAAACCTTGGAATATGACTCACTAAAATCCTTTCTGCGTATCAAGATCTATCTCAAATGCCACCTGTTACACAAAGCCTTCCCTAGTTCTTCCAGCCAGAATAATCTCTCTCCACATTTGAATCTCCAAAGCACTCTGAATTTTTGTGTTTATCTTTTTGCCGCATCGTGGCAATTTGCACCTTTTTCCTTAATAATGTGTAAATATCATATTATTTTCTATCACAGATCTCCCCACATAATAGTTACTTTAAATTATACTTAGCAAATGAATGAAAAATAATAAAAACTTTCTCCTTTGGAAAGCTAATAAACTAACCAAGGAACAATCTAATTGAAAAGTTACATCTGTGCATACAGTTAGATGTTTTACAACAGATATATGTAATACACTAAAAGCAATGAAGCATGCTTTGTTAGAAATCATGTATCCAACCTGAAGAATCTTAATATAACCAAAAAACAAGAGTAAAAAAAAGACTGATTAAAAAAAAAACTTGTAAAAGTCTATTTTAAAGTACATACACTTATAAATAGGGGACTGTCTTGTCCATGCTCAGATACTGGTATGCTTAATTTACAGGCAATTCTAATAACCAACATTATCTGATTACTAAGCCCACTGTACAGTAGAGACATCTTAAAAGACAGCTGAAGTTGGCCTTAGGGATATGCCAGAGATTGTAAAGAAGGTCATTGAGATTCCAAAGAGCATGCGCTTTCCTTTACCATTTCTCCTCCTGGAACACAGTTCTATCACTGAAAATAAGTTGTGTGCACAGGGACAAGCCTGTGTTGTAGCATTCCAGCTGGATGTTCCCTACAAGTATACTAGTCCAGTTTAAAGATTGTTTTCTGTAAAATCTACCCTATTTAATATGCTTACTGGTTAATAATATCATGATGAAATGCTACATATGGGTCATCAGTGACAGGGGAAGATCACACAGGCCTGAGTGATCAGGGAAAGATTCCCAAGAGAAGGCCAGTTTGTCATCACCTAGAGGAAAAGGAGAGACGGAGTACCCATAGGTGGAGGGCTGAGGCTGTCACAGTGACTGGCTTATCCCAAGTACTGTGTGACTCTACACTAAGTAAATGGACCAGTAGTGTGTCTGTTTGAAGTGGGGTGCAGAGAAATCAATGCCTGGATATATTCAAGGGAGCAAAATGGTTAGGACCAAGTTAAGAGCTTATCCTGAGATCTAGGAGATTTAAAATTGTGTGACTAGGATTAGAAGGTAGAGAACATTGAACCTAGCCCTAGGGTTTGAACTCTTGAACAGGCTAGCAGGTGATATTCATTCAGCCAAGGACAGATACAGGGATAATCTGAGTTACAATAGTTCTACTTATGATTTTTTGACTTTATAACATGCTCAACAGAAACCATACTTTGCCTTTTACTCTTTTTCAAGGTTAGTGTAGTGAACCACAAATCCTGGGCAGTCTTCAGATCAGCAGAGGAGTCAACAAATCCATAGAATGCTACATGGCCAGTGTCGTTTGCATACACATGTCCAACAAATTACATGAGATATCAACACTTTATTATAAAATAGGCTTTGTGTTGGGTTTTCCCTAAATATAGGGTAAGTGTTCTGTGCATATTTAATGTGAAATAAGCTATGCAGTGATGTTTGATAGAGTAGGTACATTAAATGCATTTTGGACTTGTGATGTTTTCAACTTAATAGATTTATAAGGATGTAACTCCATTATACATAGAGGAGCCTCCATACTTAATATCTACAATGTGCCAAACAATAAAGCTGATCAGTGATTCAACAGTTCATTGACTATTTATTGACCATAGTCTTAGTTACTTTTTCATTCCTGAAACAAAATACCCAAAACACACAACACTAAGGAGCAAAGGCCTATTTTGGTTTTCAATTTGTACAGTTTTCAGTCCATAGCTAGCTCTAAGGCAGGGCAGCATGGCAGAGGGGTATAGCAGAGGAGGCTTGTTTATGGCATGGGGGTGAAGCAGTGAGAGATAAATCAAGGAATAGGGAAGAGACAGACCCAGGCCATGCCCCCAGGAGTCCCCCTCACCTTTCTGGCTAGATCCCACCTCCTAATAGTCAGTCATAGCCCCCTAATTCAGTCACCTTCCAAAAGTCCTGCCTACAAGTGCATGTGACTTTGGGAGACATTTCAAATATACTGTAAACCCTAACAAGCACTTACCATGTGCCAATCACTGCTTTCTGCTTTTGCTCTGGGGACACATTAAAACAGACCAAAGCTTTTACATTCTTAGAGTTTGTATTCTCGTGGGGAGAGATGGACAGATGAACATGCAAAGGAAAAAGCAAGGCAGAAAAGATAGAAGATGGAGGAAAGAGTGTACAATCCCCTCCTGGGGGAGTTCAGGTGCTCTGCATGAAGCTGCTATCTAAACAGAGCCTTACAATAGAATATGATGTGCTGTGACAGAGGCCAGGGTAGGATGAGTATTTTGGAGCACAGAGACGGCATACCCACCTCAGCCTGTAGAAGCAACATGGCTTCACTTAGCAGTGGCCCTGGAGCCAGAGTAGGATGAATATTTGGTAGATAGAAAGATAGGCAGCTTTCTGGTCAAAAGCAAAGACGTGTCCAGGAAGGTGCATTAGATCCATGTGCAGTGCTGTATGCCATAGAGGGAGAGGACTGGCAGGAAGCTGCTGGCCCTGGTGAGGGGGTAAGGCCCTGACATGCTGGAGATGTTATGGGAAGAAAAGGGAGGTAGCGAATGTTGAGGCAGGATGGTTCTTTAGGGCACCTGTTGACAATTAGGCCGAGGTAACAAAGTGTACTGGGCTGGATGGGAGAGCATGGACGTGGGCCTTCAAAGAAAGAGGCAGAGGCCAAAGCTCAGGGGTCCCTATGTCTGGGCTTAGAAGTTAGGATCCATGTGGTAGGCTGTGGAGAGCCATTGATGGGTGTTTATGGCGAGGAGAAGGATGAGCAGACCATGATCGAGTGTGCAGAATG